TGAGAATTGTTTTTGGTAATTTGTTTTTTGTGTTTAAAATAAAGAAAAAAATTCTGCTCAATTTGTCATATTTAAATATAGAAAATTACTCTTAATGGAAACAATTGAAAATTTTGACTTTTAATCCTCAGAAGGCCGAAAAATTGACCAGTAAAAAATAATTTATTTTTCCAAAAATTTTAAGTTTAATTCGTTTTTATTAACAGTTTCTAACAGTTACTTTTAGAAAAATCATTTTACTGAAATATTTTACGATAGATTCCAGCTATCTCTGCATCGCATACTTAAATGAAGGGTTAAAATTATATATTTTAATTTTAAGTGACTTTTACTTAATCTATATTAAATTATAAAATATAGTGATGTCGTATATTTTTTATAGTTTCGAAATAAATACATATATAATATATATAGGTTATATATAGGTTTGCAATATATTATTAAAACAGGTAGAATGCGTTTACGCTAATCATTTCGGTATAAAATTTTTTGTTGCATATGCTATGTGGGTAAAATGTCTATGAGCATGTATGTAATGTATACATTGTACACATTTTTGATTGTACACACATAATACTCATTTATATCGATATTAAATAGGATATTGAGTATTTTTGGGTAGGCATGCACAATATTTCAAAAATTTTCATGTTTTTGGACTTAAAAAAAATTTTATTTTTGGTTTTTTTACTATAAATTGCAACAAAAAATGATTTGCTATAATATAGTTGATTAAAAAATAAGAAAAAGGCAAAAAAAAAAAATAGTTACGTAAAAGACATTCTGCAGAAATAATATGAAGGTTATTTGAAGTATAACTACTGTGGTATCTAGTTTTTTTCTTATGAAATTTTTTCTGTTTCCCTCAAAAACCTATACTAACTACTTATGTATGAGTGGTATGTATGTATATGAACATCTTATGCGCATTTTTATGTACGATTGTATGTCTTAATATATGTATATGTGTGGGACTATGAAAAAATAAGAGAAATGTACGAGCAGTTATTTTGAGGTTTTTCTTTTTTCTTCAAAAAAATAAAAAAAGGGAAAAAATTATAAAAATTGCCTTTTAATACAAAAATGTTTAAAATACAAAAAAAAAATTATTTCATTTTATTTAATTTTTTTATATTATTTTTTTTGTTGTTGTTTTTCTTTTTATAATAATAATAATATAATAACTATATGGTATAATTTAAGTAAGTATATAATATTGTTAGCCTCTCTTCTCTCTATATTATTGCAAACGTGTAACTAACTTAATTTTAATACCTACAACTACCTATGTATATACCTACATATAAATAATATAGTTGAGATTACATACAATAGGAATATACAACATTTACGAAACTGTGTGCCACTCTTATAGTATTTAAAACAATATACATATGTAGTTAGAGTGGCTCTTTTTTTTTTCAATATATGTAGATGTCATTCGAAGAGTGTCAAAGATTTTCTGAATAAGAAACGGTCTTTCGATATAGTTAATATATATATATGGAAATGGTGTTTCGTAGTATGGTGTTAAAGACCTTAGAACGGGAATTGCGTGAGCTTTAAAATGACTATACTAATTTAGATATACCAGTCACCTTGTCCGTTTGGACGCATTCTGCCACTCTCGTTTGAAAATGCTATCAAGTCTCGGACAATCTGTATATAAGATCACAAATCTCGCCTTCTACTATCACATACATACATTTACAAGTTATTTTAAATTAATAATATTTTTAGAATCACGACAACTATAATTCAATTAATAATATGAAAATATTCCTACTTTAAATGTTAAATATGGTAACTCCTGACAAAAACTATGGATTATCCTGACAAAAACTATGGATTCTTCCTCTATTTTAAAACAATTAAAAGTTACAAAATTCAATTCCTGATAAAGGTTATCATTGTACATTCTTTTGAATTGCAAAATTTTCGAATTATTTTATCGTGTTTTTGGAAATTTACAAAAAATATGGATCTGGGTACAGAATTGCCGAATATGTGCATATCACCATGAAAAATATCTTTGTTAAAAATTATTTTAGATTTAATTTGGCATAATATTTCAATTAACTGAAAATTTTTTACTAACCGATTAAAGAAATTACATGGGCCGAAGGTTGCTCATGTCAACTACGAATACATACCTATACTACCTATTGAAAACAAATGCGTTATTTTTTTAATACAATTTTTTATTTTTCTTTCTTGAATTCTGTTACATTTGATACCACCGCGCATATGAATTTGCTGTATAGGAAATATGATTAAAGTCGCAGCAGTTATAGTTAAATTATAACGACATACATATACATATACACATGTACATAATATAAAGTAACGTCTGAAAAGAAAGAAATAGAAAAATCGAAAAAAAAGAAGAAGAAAAACAAAAAAAAAAAGAAAAGAGAAAAAATTCCTTTGCATGATCATTTGACTTCCGTTACATTGGATGGAAGTATTTGACATAAAACAATTCCTATTATAATACACACCACACCGTGCACATACATGTATTTATAAATATGTATGTATATTATGAGAATCGGTAGATAATAAATGATCCCGTTAGATTTTTTTGTCTTTGTTTTTTTTTTTTTTGCTTATTTTTTTCTTGTAATTTAATGTCATAGTTATTTTATTTCAATAAATATGTGCATATAAAATTATGTGAACTTATTTATTATATTTTATTGTAATAATAAATACATACATATATACACCCAATCAAGCAGTACATATATGTACATATTTTGAAGTCGTGATGCTAATCATATTATGTACAAATGTATGTGTACATAAAATGCATTTACAAAATTATATTGGGAGGATTTTGAAGTAGATAAGAAATTGAAAATTTGTATTCAATCAAATATCAAGATAATTTTACAATAAAAAATCAGAAAAATTAGAGAGAAGAAAAATAATTAACATATGTTTATGTGCCTACATAATATGTATGAATGTTTATGATATGTATATACATATGTACTTGTTGTATGAAGCCTTTGAAAAGTACAAGTTTCTTATAAAATTTTTAATTCAGATTTAAAATTATTTTCATTACTATGAATTTATTATTGTGAATAAATTTCTTATAATTTATTAATTTATGTATACTCATATATATATATACATACATATGTACATTTAAATTATGTACATACAAGTGAATTTTAATCTTAACCTTATTATAATTTTCTTCTTCTACTACTTACATTTGTTTTTTTCTTCTCGTTTTAAATAAAAAAAAAAATTTCCACATCTAATAACTTGGATATTGTCAAATAAAAATGAAAAAATTAAAATAAAATTTTTTTTCTAATGTTTTTAAAAAAACAAATAAAAAATACGCGTACACAAACGGCCAACGTACGGAAATTTTATAAATTTTCTCTTTTTTTTTTTCCTTTTGTTTTTTTATACATTAATAATAAACTTGAGCATGTACATATGTATGTATTGAAAAAAAGTAAATAAACATGTTTTCTTTATAATATACACCTATTGTATATACATATGTGTGTATATATACGTAATTATGTATATACAATTATATTTGTTTAAAATACATATAGGATACGAATAGGAAACTTATTTTCTTAATATGATGTTATAAAGTTAAACAACTCAGATTTTGAAGTGCTAAATTAAAAGTATAAACCTTAGCACCCTACCCTTATTAGTCTATATAACATTTTAACGATACTACTGGTGGCAAGCACATTAATTAAAATTCGAAAAACAATTACTAAATTTTATTAAAATTCAATTTAAAAAAATATTTTGTTGAAAGAACAACCAAATTTTTGTGCATGTGCACGGAGGCATGGCGGTTTCGTCATCGTCTCCACAGAACATGCAAAGGGATGAGTAAAATTTTAGTAACAACTTTAAGTGCGTGTCTGGATTAACGAAAATCATTTTTATTTCGAATCAAGTCACTGATTTATATAGTAAGAAATTTTAAACAAACAATCTTCGTCTTGAATTACATAGGTAATACAATATAATATTCTCATTATTATAACGAAATAATTATGTTAGGCAATAAATAAATTGCATAATTTATTGATAATATAATGATCGAATTTTAGGATTAATTGTGCCAGTTAAAATAAATTAATTACAATTTTTGAATTTTGTATGACATTCACCCTTAGCTTTTGTAAAAATTTAGACACGGAAAATCCAAATTTTACAAATTTTAAGAGTATACAATTTGGTAGAAGAAGGAGTTGGAAAATTTTTTTCTTCCAACAAAATATTGTTCTATTAAAATTTGAATTCTGAGAGGAATACTTTGTTAAAAATTGGAAAAAAATAAATGAGTGTAAGATAATGGCTAATTTTAACGGCCATTTTGTTATTGTAATGTTTATTTACATTCGATACGCTTTTTAGGTTTTCAAACGGGTGAAAAATCATCGCCATTGGTATTCTAGATTAATAAAAGAAGCAGTTAGTTAATTAGGATAATTGGTAAGTTATTTAAATAATAAATCCAACTTCTGTAATTAAAATGTTAGTAATTTCTTCTATCAATGAAAATTTTAAACTAACTGAACTAATTGAAAACAAACGTGTTATATTATAATAAAATTAATGAAATGCTCCTTATATAATAATTATATTTAATTTTTTAATAGAGTTAAACAAATAACAGGATTTCTAATTAACAGAAAATAGTTCTGCAAGTTTTACATTTATATATTTACTCTTATATGTGGTATGAATTGCACAATTATTCCATAAAGCTCACGCTTAATTAGTTTTTTTTATTTAGAACAAGAATTTGTTGACTAAGTAATTTGAATTTTTATGATATTTTGTGATTTGATTACAAAAATTCCGAGTAAAAATTTTTTTGTACACAAATTTATCTTTATATTTTTTTATATTTTTATATTTTTATTTCATTTTAATTAGAATATATTTACAAACATTTTAAAATTCCCTTTATAATGCAAATTCTTCTTAAACTTTCTTTACAGATTATTAGAAAATCAGGCGAAATACAACGGATAAAAACATGACATTGCTACTACACTTTAATTAATTAAAAATCAAATTCAATTAATTTTTTTTAAATTAAAAAATTAATTTAAGAATTAATGTTATGAATATAAAATATTTAAATAATATAAAAATAAAAGTATAATTGCCGTAAATTAAATAATTTTAATTGAAAAAGAAAAAAAAAAACCAAAATAAAAATTTTAAAATGGGAACAAAATCACCAGGAGGACCTCAACGATGCCGCTTAATATTACATCGATGTTTGGCAATACAATTATGTAAATCAGGACATGCACCAGATGATTTTTGGATGTATGATTCCGGTTATATGATATTTCAGGTAAGATAAAGAATATTCAGTATATTCTTAATTTTAAAATTATGTACTTAATTCTGGTTTGAATGTATTCTGACTATAGTTCAAGAGAAATTACATTGACTGTTTGTTCTTTCCCTCAGCATTGACTGCTTAAAATTAAGAATGATTACGTTAAATTTTTGTAGGCTTAAAAGCATCAATAATCAAGTGGCCAAGTAAGCATGGCTTTTATGTTTGCTTTATGTGAATTAAAAATTTCATTCATATGTTCACCATATTGGATGTATGTATATACAAACGCTAGAGGGTTTTGTATACACTATCTTTATATACCTACATATACCCATACATATTATATTTATTAATTTTAACTGTTATAAAAATTTTCTTAACGCTAGAAAAAAAAAAGTCATTAAAATATTCAAATTTTGCTTCACATGTGTTTGAGTATGGTAACTGGTACTAAGTATACGAATATAACCTGAAAAACAATTTTTATATACCGTTTGTGACTTTATAACCGAATAAAAGTACAATAAAAAAATAAATCTGATTTTGTTAGTTTTTTGTTTTATATTTAGATTAAGCAATAAATCCGGAATTTATTTCACTTAAAAAACTTAAAAAAAAAATTTTATTTCACTAAAATTTAACTTAATATTGTTTGTATGTGTATGTGTATGTATGCAAATTTGCTAAAATATACAATAGAGATTCGATAAAATGTTACACTGAATACAGCCAAGGATATACACAACAAGATTACAGTAAAAATTGAATTGAATATTTTAACTTGACAAGTGTGAATTAACAGTTTCAATTAATGAACAAACAGTAGTGTACTTGTACTCGTACTTACAAGCCTGCTTTGTTTAGAAATAATTAATATTCCACAATATACATTCTAAGTAATCTTAAGGCACCTAAAGATTTGTCATGCGATAAGTTTAAAGCAAAATTTCCTTTTTTTTTTGACTTAATTTAGTTCTCCTGCCTTATTTTGAATTAATTTCTCTTAAAAACGTTCTCTTCTTTGTTGAAGATAAATTTAACTACGATATACCCTGACTCTAGAACTTCGGTATTACAATATTAATAGACAATTTCATTTATGACATGTAATAATTGTTGATGATGCAATTTTAAGCTATAACTGCAGTCGCAGTCTGTTTTTGCTATTGTACTACAAAAAGCGGCTGGTTTTTATTTATGATTCTTGGAAAAGTTCTGCTACAAAATTTGCAAAAAATTAAAACTATTTTGGGGCGGCTATTTATTAGTTTTTTTATTTGTATTTTATAGAATTGTCAAAAATATATTGCATATTCATCACTTTATATTTTTGCAGTATTAAATTTCGCAGTTATTGTTTTGCAGAATTGCGTTTATGAAAATCCCTTATATACTATGAAAAAATTTCTAATTATATTATTCTTGTTTAAGGTACAAGTACATATAGCAATGTTAAGTACATTGACATTCTAAAAAGAGACAATTATGATAGTAATTGGATATTCTGTGGTTAGTTTTAATCGTTTAAATCTAGTATTTAAATTATAACAAATAAAAGCCTTAACAGTAAAAGTCATTTCAAAAATTACATCTTGTAAATTTAATAAATATTTAATTTTGAAAGATAATTGAAATCTTAAAATATAAATGAAAGTATAATAATTGAAAGCTGCCTATGTTATGATTCCATTGCATTGAAATTCTAAAACTGCTGTATTAGTTCATAATTCTGTTTCCCGATCGATGATCGCTGCATTGTTTATTAAATTTGACATGTCAATAATCGGCGGCTGCAAGATTTTGCAAGATTACCATATAAGAAAGTTCATTATGAATTTATTGAATTGAGTTCGTTTTATCGAATGCGTGCTTTATAGCAATTGTACTCTTTGAGTTTCAATTATACATTTTATGTACTATTTTTAACTTACTTGAATTAAATACGATATGAATGCTTATACATAGTTCGAGTAAATGTTTACTTGGAATCAAAAATCGTAACAGTATAATAGTTAAAATTAAAAACTATTTTAAATTTTAAGCGTACACATATATGTGTCTCTATACGTAATATGAGTCTTATTAAAGTCAAATTATTCAAATATAAAATAATAGGTATGATTTTAAGTTTTAGAATAACAAAAATATAATATGGCTGATGAATAATAAAAATTAAAAGAGCTTGAAGTTTTAAGGTCGTAAATGTTAAAGAGATTAATTGAAATATGTGTTTTTGGTTTTGTTTTTTTGTTTTATGTGTTTGCAACTTTGTATATGTAAATTGGTGTAACGGTAACGGTTTTTTTTTTTGTTTTATACAAGAATACATAATGAATAAAATGGCTAATTTTAAAAGAGATTTTAATAAATTCAGATCAAAAATGGTAAAGGTTATATTGAGAGTTTATTGTATTTTATGAAATTTTTTTTGCGAGAATTTAAATTGCGGAAACTTTCCCTGTGGTCAGAAATGTTAAAATTAAGGGTCAATTTATTTTATTCAGCAAATGAAAGAAGTAAATTAGAAAAAATTTTTGGAGTTTTTCACTTCGGGGTCTTATTTCTGATTTTTGATCTTAGGGGAAAGGGAAAACAAATTTTTCAACTGTAATATTTTTGTGGCAAAAATTCGAATTATCGAAAATTTATTTTAAGTTTCAGTGATTTAAGTAAAAAAACAGATATTAAATTGATAATCCCATCCTCTTCTTCAAAATTTTCATTATAAATACGAGATTCGGAAGTCTTTTAAAATTCTCAGTAAAAGGAAAGAAAATTTTAGCTTGTGTTTCGGATAAGCCCTGAAAAAAAAAATGATAAATGCCAAGGAAACGGGAATCTCTTCCATGTTCAAGCTGGTAAAAAATTTGATTTAATTTTTGTAGTAAAATTTGTTTCAAACATGCAGTTGCAGAATTGCCGCTAAAAGTATTAATGGAGTTGTCAATTGAAAAGTACTTTTGACAGATATTGCCTTCATTCACACTCTTGCCTTTTGCATTACGATTAGGAAATTGTTTCATAGAATAAAAAAAAATTATTAAAGAAGTAATGAACACAAACGAATTGCAAATGAGCACGCGCAATTGAAAATTTTCATATAGTTAAGAATGAATTATTGTAATAGTGAAAAGAGGATCTGGACCTTAAATCAGTATATTTATATGCTGAACAGTTATTGGAATCGAATTCAGTAAATCGTGCGGATATTTGAAATAAATTTTTCTAACATTTAATTTAACTCTTCCTTGAGTCTCTTTCACATTTTACCCTTTAATAATCTTTATTATTTTTTTTATTATAGCTATAGTATACACTTTTTGTTTTATCAAAACTTGAAAATTTCATGTTTAATAATACAAAAAGAAAAAATATAACGTTACATAGTTGTAAGTTGTATGATTTCCGTATAGTTGAACTAAAACCAATTTCTTCTTATTATTGAAGACTATTACGTACATGTTATTATATATACATACTTATATACACATATATATATTTATATAGGTGTTGTATATTCGCAAGTCACACGTTATTTTTGAAAATTTATTATTTTTAAAAATTTATATTAGAGATCTTCCATAATAAATAAAATTTAATACACGCATAACGTGTTAGGATCGATTACGTAAATATTTTTCATCGACTCGACTGTATATATATAAACATTAATGTATCTCCATCTCATGTAGACCACAAAAAAAAAAAAATGTAAGAAAAACAAAATGTTGACCTACTAATTAAAGAAAAAAAAACCCACTATTATTAGTTTTTGTGGCATGGTACACGTATGCGTTGCCAATAAGTAATTTATTATATTGGAACGAATTCATAGTTCCACGATTCTTTTGAAATATGTGAAAATTTATTTGATTTATGTATATTTTCTATATAAAAGATTTAGAAATTTAATTCTATTGTAAAATTTTCTACTTGCTACAACTCTCTCGTTTTTTCTATGAAATTTTCTAAATTTTTCAATTATTTAAATAATAATAATCATATTTGTTTGTTTTTGTATAGAGGGGGTCCGAGAGTTGATGATATTCTCAAAGAAGGGTAATAGAATGAAATGAGATAAGCGAAAAACGAAAAATACTTTGTTACTTTAAAATTCTCAGTCGCAACTAGGCTAATAATTTAAGCTGAGGTTTTCCTTTTATAGTCCTATTGTTCCTGTAATTGTTGTCACACGTTTAGGGAAAAAATGAAGGACATAGCAGTAATGCAATAGTATAGGTGGGTAATGTGCAATTATGAGTAAATGGCGGTTAAAGAAAACGTTGTTAAAAAATTTTTCAGAAATTTGGACTTGGTATTTAAATATTTTGCAAATTAAATAAGTAGACCCTAATGGCGTGTCCCTAGAAGAAAAATTTCATATATGAATTTCAAATTTCTCAAGTTATAATGAAGAATTTTAAACCTTACCTTTTCCTGAGACCAATAAATAAAATATTGCACTCTTCTTCGCCTGAATACATTTAATCACAGTCTATTTTTCTATAGTACCATATCAGGCCACCAAGCTGAAATTATTTTCTGAAGTAATCCGAAGTAATAAAATTTACAAAAACAATTCTTAATGTTTTTTACTCCGAAGTATTCCGATTAAAATATTATTCTTCTACAATTTTTCAGCAAATATTCTTATTTTTTTTTCCTAATTTCAAAAAAAAAATAGTTAAGATGGCTTTGAATTTTTTTTTACTTAATTTGAATGTTGAAATATCAAATACATACATAATATGTATAGAATCAGTAGAGCTAAAAATATTAGTTAATTTCTTACAATCCTTGTGATTTTCATAGAAATTTGGAATTTATTATTGATTAACATGCTCTCCAATTTTTATTTAGAATTTTCTGGCGGCAAATGCACAATGTTGGTGGAATGTTCCGTTAACAACAGCAACTCGATCACTTAAATATGCTGGTCATGTAGCTCCTGGAATGTTATTAGTAACTGGTGAACCATGTGCTTTAGAAGTTATTCGTGGTTCATATGCTCGAGGTGTTTTAAAACCGCCAGCAACATATGTTATCAGTTCAGTGGGTGAGTATTTAAAATTGTTCTTAAATTATTTCATAATAATTATTAAACTATTATGTTCACCAACTCATAACTCTCATATACTGATAATGAAAATATTATATTTTTCCTCTTTTCTTTTATATACAATAAGGTGATATTGATGATTGTATTGTTACACCAACAATGCAAGGACAATTTACACCACTACCGGAAGCATTATGTGATGTTATAATGAACTTAACTACAAAAGGTCAATCAGCAACAATAGAAAATTTACGAATAAATTTAGGAATTCAATTCCCACATATGACAACACCAGGAATCGAAGTTATTTATGATACTTTAGCACAATTAATGCAAGAAGCAAAAATTTATCAAACTGCTAAAGGTTATTTTATTGTTACTCCAGAGTATGTATAGAATTTTTTAAATATTTTTTGTATAGCTACAATAAATTTAAAAAATTAAAATATTTATTATTTAAAATATACTTTTTTAAATATAGAAGACGAAGAAGTAGATCTAGACCAAAAATGCAAGCTCTAGACTCTTATAAAAATTTAGAGGAATATGAGCAAATTGAAAGTCAACAAGAAGCCAGAACAATTTTAATGACAAATTCAGAAGCACTACATTCACTATATGGTGAAATTTCAACAGAACGTGATGGTGATTTAACACATCAATGTATTCAAACAAATTTAGCAGATGTAATTTGTGGAGGTAAAAAATTTTTTTTAAATATTAAAAATTTCAATTTGTTCATATTTTATTTTATTGTGTATGAAGGAAACCCGAATGATAAAATAATATATCCGAGAACATCGAAACGTCGTAGTGCATCATTTCCAACACCAAGAAGTTTAGATCGACGACATAGTTTAAGATTATTTGGTTCATCGAAAAGATTACAAAAATGTGCATCAACACGTAGTCTATCGAAAACATATGCCCAAAGTTTAACAACAGATAGTAGTAGTTCGGAATATCAAAGTACTGATTCATCATCAGCAAGTAATTTATAAAAAAGAACAATATTTTTAATATTTGTAATATATTTTTTATTTTAGAAAAAGCATCCTTACTTTTTCGTTTATTTCGACGTAGTAGCAGATCAAAACAACGAAAAATCGAAACATATTCAGGACAATTTCCACCAGTTGAATGGTTTAATTCACGTACAGTTCATTTACATAGTATTGGAACGCAAACTACTGATCAGGTTAGATTGAAGTTTTAATGTGAAAATTATTTTGAATGGGAAGACTGGTATTTTAAAAAATTAAAGTTCTTGAACACTTTTATGGCAGAATTTAAATAGACATATTTGCGTTTTGAATCGTCATATAAGCCCTATTCAAGTTACTGATTTTTCTTCAGTCACATTCACACATATTTCCTTTTTGAATTACATAAATAAATTTGGAAAAACCATTTTTCATTTTAATGAATTAGTTTTCTAAACTTGATTTTTATTAGATAATTCAGATAACATTTTCTATTTTTTGTGTTATTTATGAAAAATTAGGAAAAAAAAATTTCCAATCGATTTTTGATTTAAATCGAAATTTCATATATGTGCGTGTATCATATATAATACATTTTACTAATTTAGAAAACAATCGATCATTTAAAAATTCATTGACAGTATTGTTAAATTTAGATGTTACCATATTATAAAAATTTCATTATTACATAGTCGATTTGTATATATAGAAAGTTATAGAAAATATCATATGACAAGATACAAAACAAGTATAGGAAAATATCATAGTGCCCATCTAATACATTCATACTTATATAATATTAATTTTAAATAATAATTTATAATAAAATTGAGGAAAACATATCAACAAAATATCAAAATAATAATAATAATAATTAACTGAATTGGTTTTTAACCTACGCTTATAATTTATTTCATTTTAAAATATTTAGCTCAATAATATTGTTAACGTAATAATAAATTGAAAAGGTAACAAAATATTTATTCGAGTATAGAGTTTGTGTATATATTTATATGCACCTTACATATCCATCAAATACAATTAATTATCCTCCAATGTGTATAAAACCTAAAATGAAAAATCATCGATTCCAGTTATGTCAGTTAAATACGAAATGATTTATATATTATTAAAAAACAATACATGTGTATGTATGTATATATAGATATGTACATAATATATATGTAAATGTAAATGCGTGTTTTAAAGTGTAGAGGCTGTAAACTCTTAAAAACTCTTTAAAAATAAAAAGAATATACAGTAATTACCGGATATTTGAGCCTCGAATAATTATGCGTTTCATTTTTAATTACACGTGAATTTAAAACAATTTCAAATTTGTATATGCAATTATTCAGGTGACATTTAATATTTAAGTACTTGCTTGTTTGATTTAACCATTTAAAATTTTTGCATGAAATGTATTTATGTCTCACGGGACAAATAATTATGAAATAATTCAGTTAAATTTTAATTAATAATAAGTGTAACTAGGTTATTTTTGACAATGTCAAAGCACATGTCAATATTAAAACGACTTGTCAAAGTCTTTCATGAAAAAAAAAACACTTATGAGAATAAATTTATTATATTTTACAAATATAACTGAGCTACAGTTTAATACGATCTCGTAAACGGACCTATTTTGTATTTCAGTGTTTATTAAAAGCGTCGTTTTTTATTTAGTTTAGTTTAAACATTTAGTTGATAGTTCAGCTCATGAGTTGCTCTTGTTTCACGGTAAATTATTTCTAGTAGTATTGCTGCAGTTTTAAAATCAGGTGATTTTTAAATTTAATAATTTCATTAAATTATTTCATTGTGACAAATCAAAAATATGTATATGAACAATCAGTGTCATATGTGTGAAGTTTAAAGGAAAGATTTTGTTTAATAAAAAGGTAGCGCTTTTAAGTTCTTAAATTAATTTCATTTCAACATTGCATATTTTGAACCAACGCAATTATCCGAGGATTACTGTATGAATTTTATGTAAACTTAAACAGCTTCATTTTTGTTCATGTTATCTTGGGTAAAAGAAATTAATTTTATTTTTATTGTTGTTGTTTTTTTTTTGGAAAGTCGAAAAGGTGTACTCCAATTTATTTTAATATTGTTTTTGGTTTACCTTTGGCTGTTCACGATAATGCTGTATGTAGGTACATGTAATATTGTATGTATATAGCTACTGGCTAAACAAAAAACATAATACAAAATAATTATTTTGTAGTTTTTTTTCCTTCAATGAAATTTTATTCTTTCAAAATTGTTTTTGTTGTTAAAATTATTGTGAATAATTTTTTAACTACTGCTTGTCAAAAAATTTACTGTACACGTGCCGTATATGCGTATTTAAATGTTTTCGTTTCTTTTCCTTAAATTTAAATTATATGTTTCTTATGAATAATTGTGAGTAGCTATATATACAAATGAAAAATAAGATCTAATTAAGATCAAAAATTTTAATTTGTATTTAAAATTCGATAATTTTTTTTAATTTATTTTCATTTCTCTCTTGGGCCACTTGGGGAGCCTACCTAACGGCAGTGTTAACGTTCACATTATTCTGAAACGCAATGAAATTTTGTTGAATATATTAAATTGATGTGTTAAAGTATGTGTCTGTTAAAGTATGTAAATTGAACTTCATATTGTTAAATTGTAAAAATGTTATTGCATTTATTGCTTTTCCTTCAAAATGGTTTGGAATTCAAAAATATTAGATAAATATCGAGATTTCTAATCGTGTTTTGGAAATTATTTAAAAATGCTGCCTAAGTTTAGAAGTATTTAATTCAACATCTTTAACTTTTCGAAATTAAAATTCAATCAGTCCATGTGAAATTAATTAAAGAATTAAATACCTTTCTTGAAATGTAAACGTGACTCTATATAAGTAAATTGATATTATTTAAATAAAAATGAAAAATTACACGTGCGAAACGATAAAAACAAATAATTTGCTATTCTGCAGGCGTTAAGCTAAAGTATTTTCTTCTCAGTTTCATATTAAGAAACGCATGAGTGCGTTCAGATTATAAATGTACACATATATTTTAATGGGTGTTAAATTAACTTTGTGACAATATTTGAAGTTTTTGGAAAATCAAGAGCATAGAATTTTTTTATATCTTATGATGTCACACCATTATGGTGTGAATGAAAAAAATAATAAATTTAAATTAATGTTTTATAAAGGTCATTATTGTTTATATGTAATATGTAAAAGTATTAAAATTTTTTATATTTATACATGACTTGTATGACTAATATTTTGTATAATTTTTCAGGAAATTCCTACAGTACATACACTTTCAAATTCAACATTTTATGATGGTTCTGAATATAGTCAAAGATCATCAACATTACCAAAGCGACATAGACGCCATTTATCTGGTGATTCAATTTTTGCATTATCATCAAGAGATTGTTCACCATTACGACGTAATTCACCTGCATATTCTAGTTCAAGTTTACCAAGATCAACACATTCAGTGTCACCAATGTCAACAAATGTACAAAATGGTACACAATATCAATCACAACAGTCATCAAATATATGTGTGAGTAGTTCTACAACTTATCAATCATCAATTGCAAAAGCTTATGGTACTGGTAATGAAACTACATTTAACAAGCATATTTATGAACAACAAAATCGCCTTAAAACATCTACTAAAAAACTAAAAGCGATAGATAATCATAATAAAATATCATCATCTGGCCGTAATTTACGACAATCCGGTCATATTAATTATGAAAATGGCAAAACAGAATCTGTTTTAATTTCAGGTCCATCCAGTATAGATAGTGGAAAAATTTCATTAAATAAACAACCAACTAGTGATAATTCTAGTCTAGAATTTTCAGAAAATGTAAATGTTAAAAATCAACAAATATCACCAACCAGATCAATTTTAATATTAAATCGTTCACCACGAAGTTCATTTCGTCACTCAAATTTAAGAAATAATTCTGTAAAGAAGTCCGAAACAAATGGATATGATCATTCAACTAATAGCTCTACTATTAAATTTGAAAATGTACCAATTGGAAAGAATAGTTCATCATCAAATGGAATTTCAAATTCAGCTTCAAATAGTTCTATAATGTTACAAGTTACAACGAATGGTTCACAATCAAATATTCCGAGTACGAAAATTTTTGTTCAAAATTCACCAGTACGTAGTGTTATAACATTAGAAAATCGAAAATTATTGGACAGTGCTAATGTATATATTATTAATAATGAGACAACAACTAATGAAAAAGGAGAAATAACCAAAAATTCATTTACCAGACAAAAATCAAATCCATTAGATTCAATAAAATTAAATAGTTCAATGTTTGAAAGTGATACCAATTCGGAAGCATATGATTCTTTATCAGCTGTATCAGATACATCTAAAAATCAAAATGATTCAATTTCTATACAAGAAAAACCAGATCCATTAAAATTTACTAAAAATACAAATAATGATACAGCAATGAATAATAGTAGAATATTACCATTAAAATTATCTCAAAATGGTTCAAATGGTATTATATATAAAAATTATTTAAAAAATGATTTACCACAATCTGTTAATTCCGAAGAAAATATATCGGAATTTTGTAAAGCTGGTTCAGTTGGAAATTTAGGATTTTATGAAAAAAATATAAATGATTTAAATAATAAAATTAATTCAAATGATTTAAAAAATTTAAGATTTGAATCAGCTAGTAGTTTAAATTCAAAATCATTATTAAATACACCAGTTGATTCATTGGCAAATATATTACAAAAACAAAAATTAGATGTTGAAAGTGAACCAAATTTAACAAATAGAAATAATGAGAAATTAATTAAAAATGATAATTTTATGAAAACAATTGATAAAAATATTGTTGATTATGGTTTAAATTCAACAAAAGATAATAATGATGAATTATATAATTTTCCAAGTTTAACTGATTTAAGTTTTAATTTTACATCTTTGGCTGCTAAAAAAATATTACAAGGTGTTAGCTTAAATAGTGTAGATACTTTAGTTGAATTAAATCTTGCTAATATTAAAGATAAGGAAAAACAAAAAAATAATACATTAATATAAAAAATGATTTTATTATATACATTTATATATATAAAATTATATAATATTCAAAAATTATCTTATTCCGTCCAAAATCTTTGAATAAAAGGACTTTAAAAAGCACACAATATCTATAAAAACGTGCTATTTAAATCAATTTAGGTTTAACAAATCTAAAATATTTTTATAAATTTTTTGCACAAAACCACATGGTCCATTAATTTCAAATCTTATCTAAAATTCAAATAAATTTTTCAATTACTAAATTTTGAAGCGTATAACACTTTAAAATAATTAAAAATTTTAAGATTTACGGAAAGACTCCTTACAAAAATATTTTTAAAACGAAATTTAAACAAGAAAATATTCAACTTAAGTAAAAATTTAATAAACACCTACAATTACAATTTTTTTTTTGTTGAAACTAAATAAATTTTCAAAAATTTTTTAATTAAATTTTGTAATTTTTTATTATTAATTTTTAAGAATATTCAAAACAACGCACCAGTAAAAAAAAAAAATTTTTGTTGTAAATAATTTTTAAAAAAAATTTTAAAAAATATTATTTTAATAAATTTTTATATTAAAGCATTTTAAATGCATTTTACAATATTAAATTAAAAAGCTTTTTTTTTTATAAATTTTAAAATAAAATTTTATATTTAATTAATTTAGGTTTTATACAACAGAATTTTAATTATAATTATGTAATATATAAATATATATACATATAAAAATATAATATTATAATAGAATAACAGAAAATTGCACTAGAATGAAAGAATATTTGCACTTATTTAAAAAAAATAATAATAATAATAATAGGTTTTCATTTTGCTTTTAATTTTAAATTGTTTTAAAAGATGAAATAACCAAAAATGAATTAATTTTCTATATTATAAACAAAAATCTAATCTTCCCAGACATCAATTTTGTAGATATATCGCAATATTATAAAATCAAGATTTCAAAATTTTATATGTAGAAAAATCTGCAAAGTCCAAAACTCAATGTTGTTTATTTTCTCGTGAAATGTGCAGATAATTAATATCTATTTCGAATATAAAAAAATTTATTTGCAACATATAAAAATTGTTATGAATATATTATGTCAAAATGTCATTTTGTTATCGTGTCCGCAATTCACGAATATCAATATATGCAATGTCATTAAATACGATGCATAATACGATGCGTATCTGTATTGCAGTTAAACGTAGTAGTATTCCAGTTATAACACATGTACATATGTGCATTATTGAAGTCATATGACTTTCTAATACTTATAAAATTATATTGAAAATTTTGCAAAAATTGTAATTGTAATTCATTTCTCGTTGTTTCCATATGACATTACTTTTTGTATATAAATGACAATTATAATTGTCAAAAATTAAAAAAATTAAATCTTTTTGAAATTAAAAATTTATAAAAATTCTACAGGAATGTCCAATTACATTTAAGAAAAACCAAATCAAATCGAATTTGTAATTTTATAAAATTTTGTTTTTGTAAATTTCAAAAACCCCGAATTGTTTAATTAATAATAGAATAAATTAAGCTTCTGAAATTTTTCAAAAAAAAACAAAAATTTTATTAATTTTTCGAAGAAATCTTAATATTATAACCGATTAGATTTTTGTATATAAATATATTTTATATCAGTTATAAAAATTTTTTAATGCTTTAATTATATAGATATTTTATAAATAAAATTAAATTTTATAATATGTATATAATATGGTTATACATTAATAATAATATTGTATTCTAAATTACTTATTAAAATAGAAAATTTATTAAAATTTAAATATATAAAATGAATATTGCATTCAATAAGTAAACAGGCAAAAAAAAAAAAAAATAAATTGTTAAAATTTACAAAAGCAGTGTTTCTAAATATTCTTTATCAAATATAAGATAAAAAATGCATTTTAAATTTATATTTAATTAATAATACACATTTTTAAATTAAAATAAATTTATACTTATTTAGATCTTTGTTAATTAGATTTCTATTTTTACTTTTATCACAATTTTAATTAATAAAATTAATATTGACTGGTAATTTGTAAATAATAAAAAATTGTTATTTTGTTTTATTAATATTTTACTTTTTCTATACCAAAAACAGATTCTATACCAAAAATAAATTTGAAAATTGTAGAGTTTAGTAATAGAATTTTTTAATAGACTCTGTTTTACAAACTCATTAAATATTTATTAAGTATTTTAAAATTATACAACTGTAATATTAAAATAATATCATATTTCAATATTGTTATTTTTTAAAATATATAAATTAAGCTAAATTTAAATCTAACTGAGCCAAATCTAATTGGTCACCGAAATTAAATCTATTTCTAATAAATATTTCAAGGACAGTTGTTTAATTATTTTATACATAATAAAATTTGTAAATTGTATTTTTAAATTTTCATTTAGTTCTTTGTAATAATCTCGAATGAAAATATTATTAAAAACATTTTTTGTTTAATTAATTCTTCCTTAATTTAAAAACTTAAATTTTTGCTAAATGACAATATTTAAAATATTTTTTTTTTTTTTTTTTTAATATCATTTTACAAATTAAATATAATATAAGTTTTCATTATTGAGATTTAATTTCTTCTGAAACAAACAAAATTCATAAATTAATTTGTTTATCATTTATTACCAGAATCAATTAGATATTCAAGAATCTACATAATTAAATGAAGTAGTTTTCATCTAGATTGCCAGTCTTAAAAATTATATTAATACTCTACATACATATGTAGTACAAATAAAATATAACACTTATAATTTTTATACATGAATACACCAAAATATAAAAAATTGAACCAAATCAAAATATAAAAGAAAAATAGAATATAGGTACAATAAAAATTAATATAAATTATTTAAAAATTTTTATTGTATATATAAAAGATCTATAAGTAAATATTAATTTATGCATTATTCTTTTTCTTATACAAACAAAAAATTTTGAAGCAATTTATTATAAAATATCTTATTAAATAATTGCCATTCCAACAGCATTTATAATTTATATATAAATCATAAAATATTAGATTACTCGTATATATTTTAATAGTTTTTATATAGAATACAATATAATATAAACATATTATAAATTTTTTTTTTTTTTTATATAAAATTAAAAATGTGTTTTATTTTTTAATTATTCAAAGCAATTTATAAAATTTTATATACTTAAATATTAACCAAAATAAAGTGAAATTGCCATTTAAATAATATAAGCTGTTTATTAATAGATTATTAAGCATTATTAAAATATTTTTGAATTGTTTAACAAAATTATCTTATTTTGTTTTTTTTTTTATTCTTTTTGTATATATACAGGCATTTTAATGTCTTAATAATATTATATGTCTAATAAGTTCTTAAAGAAAACTGAAAGACAATAAATAAAAATATATAAATATGTTTCTTATATAAATTATAATAAATAAATTAATAAATTTTATGATATTTACGATTGGTGGTATCATTATTTAAAAAACCATTAAAAAATTCAATATCAAAGAAAATTTATTTATATATAAAATTTTAAAAAAAAATTAATTAATAATTGTGATTGAATAGTTTTCATATATAAAGGTCAAAAAAATATAAAACTATATTATGAACGCACATTGAAGACAATAAACAACGAAATAAATTATATAATTATGAAATGAAATAAAATCTAAATTAAAATTTAAAAAAAAAATATTTAAAAATTGAAAAAAAAAAAGTATAAAATACTTATAAAATAATATTTTTTTTTATAAGATTTTCAACTACTTATACATACATATATTTTTTTATAAAATAAAAAAATAAATTTAAAAATAAATAAATAATAAACGAGTAAGAATGAATTTTTTAAATAAGAGGTGAAGAATTTAAAAATTAAATAAAAAAATAAATACAATATATAAATTTATATATATTACGAATTTTTATAAAAACAATTTAATGCAAAATAAAAACATGATTAAAAAATTGATATAAAAAATTTTATTATGTTTTAATTTATAATTATTTAAAATTATAAGGTTATACAATATATGTACACAATTATTGGACAACCCTATATTTGAGATAAGTATATATTTTGTTTATGTGTACCATTTTATATTAGTATTGTATTAATTTTATTTTAATATAGAAATTTCTTTAATAATTACCTGTAATATAAAAATAGAAACCAAAAAGGAGAACACAAAAATCTAATTTTGATATTAACACTAAATTTTTAATTATTTTCATAATTAAATTTTTCTTCAAAATCTTATTTAATGATGTCTTCTTATATTGTAATAATTTGTTTTAGTTAAGTTTTTACTCAACACTCAAAATTCGATAATTAATACGAAGATTATTATATCGTTCGTCTCTTAAAAGTTTATTCATTAATTAATAACAACAGTACTCGTAACAATTTATTTTTGATTTCTAGCCCAATATTATGAATATTTATTGTGAGTACAACTATTTGAGTATTAGGAATGACTATTAGAAAAATAATGTCTATTTTTTGATTTTTTAATTTCACAGTTTGTCCAAACTCTAGATATTGAATTTTTCAATAAAAAAAAACAAAATTATGCTAAAACTTCACATTGAATTTTCTTCAGATTAGAAAACTTTATTTAAAACGTATATTTAAAAATTATGCAGCGCGATATTTTGGAATGTACTTCATATATGGAATTTACATTAAAACTACATTTTCGAAAATAACAATTTATCTTAATGTAAATAGAATTTTCAAAATATTTGTGACAAGAATTAAGTTATGATGGAAATAGTTTTCGAAATTTGAAATTTATATGTATATAATTAAAAAATTCTGCTTTTATGCCGATTTCGAGATTTTCAATAAGTCAGACATGCAATGAAAGTGAGTCAGATTTGTGATATACTCCAGTGATTCGTCAATATTAAACATTTTTTCTATTATGCTCTTCATCTAATTATTAATATTATTTTAACAGTAGCTGTAAAACAACTTAAAAATTCCTTATTTTTAGGGCTATTCGTATGGCTTTTCAGACATTTTAATAAAACAAAATAACAATAAAGTCTTAATACTCGTATTTTTATCTGATATGAGAATTTTGTTTTTTTTTTTTTATTAATTATTTACAAACTTTTACATACATTTTTAATTTATTTTTTTTTTTTTTTAATTATTGATTTTTTAACAAACAACTGGTTATGGAATTATTATTAGTTTACATTTTTTTTTTTTTGTTTATTTTAAAATAAATTACAGGATCTCTTGATATAAAACAATTAAAAAAATATTTAATTTAACAAACAAAAATATTTCAATAAAATTTGATTAAGTACAAAAAAAAAGAAAAAAAAATTATCAATATTATAGTTTTATTATTTGTTTTTAAAAATATTCTTTTGTTTTTTTACATAATTATTTTACTTTAACAAAAATTATTAATATTTTTTTTCTTATTAATTTTATACAAAATATATAAATATAATATTATACTATTATATTAAAATATATGTAGATAAAAATATAGGTAAAGTACAAATTTTTAATTAATTTCTATAATATATTATATTTAATAATATATAATTATACAAAACTTATATAAATATATAAATACAACTGTCGGTATATATAAAATTATTATATAAGGTAAATATATATTCATACATACATACATTATGTATGTATAATCATATAGGAATGATGATAAATTTTTGTTGTACTTATTATTTTTTTTCTTCTTCTTCTTCTAAATATGATAAATTTTTTTTTTTATAATATCTTTAATATTTTTCAATTATTTTTTTTATTAATATTATAATATTATTGTCATCGCAATTGAATTTTAAATTTTTAATTTATAGATATAATGTAGAAAAGAATAAAACAACAAATTCTATATGTACATCCCACATAAAATCATGGCTCACAATACTTAATTTAATTCAATGTAAATTTATTAAAGAGTTAAAATTTAAATATTATTTTGGAAGGCAGTATATATTGGCATAATATGTACATACATAAATTGTATGTAGGTCTAATAAAAATAAAATTATTATATCGGAATAAAATGTTAATTATTACATTTATTAATAGAAATTACATATTTGCAATTTCTTACTTGCTGGTAATAAAAAATTATTTATTTCATATTAAATTGCAATTTGTTTTTAGTTTTGATCAAAAATTTAAAACATAAATTGGTAAATAAATTTAAATAACTTTGCTAATTTAAAAATTCCAATAATATGGAATTAAAATAAATATTTCAGTTTATTGTTTATAATTTGCTGAATTTTAATTCTAATTGAATTATTTTTAATATTTAATAAATTTTGAAATAATATTTATAATATATTTTCAGATTCTCTCAAAAAAATTATAAATGATGGCAAAAAATAACAATTTGTTATTAGCATTAATATTCATATTCAAATTTATTAAAATGAATTTTAATATAGCTTAAGGCAAAACAATATAAAATTGTCAACATGTTCTAATTTTAACATTTTATCTATTGTTACTTAAGTAATTTGATTATAATTCAATTTATAATTTAAAAAAATTCATATTATGAGCGTAATTTTGAATTTTGAATGTATACAAAGCAAATTTGTAATAATTTAGTAATCTTAATGGTATGCCAACAAAAAAACATTTATCATTTTTAATGCCAATCAAGTATAAAATATTTAAAAAAAAAAATTATTTTGTCAGTATTTAACATTTAAAAATTTGTTAATCTTCAATTCCGTAATGCAGTAATCCAAACTGTGAATTTAATTCAACTTATACAAATATATTACTGAATTTTTAGCTTAAATACAAAATTACTAAATTTGATTTGAAATTACTGCATTAAGGAATTTCAGACATTTTAGTGTAAAACATTTAAAATTTACATTATATTCTCCACAAAAAAAAAAAATAAGAACATTTCTAAAGCATTTTTACAATTTTGTATACATACAGCAATATTTAAATTTTTTACTTAAGAATAATTTAATAATTCATTAAAAATTCAATTAGAAATACTAAATACTTTCTAATTAAACAAAGACAAATCTATAAAATGCCTTTTAAAGAATTTCTTACAAATTTTATATTGAAATTAATGTGGGTATTTTTTATACATTTATTGAGATTTAGAACAAAAAAATGTTAATAATTTGAAAAAGAAAAAAAAAATAATATATGTATAATATAAATTTATTTATTTTTAAAATAATTCTAAATAATTATTTTAATATCGATTATGATTGCTTTCTCTAACACTCATTTTACTAACAGAGTACCTATCTGAATAGTTATCATATTTATCTACTTTATAATTGATTTCTTGTGGAGTATAACCGATATTTTTTTGCCAATGACGTGTCCAATATAAATCTTCATTTCTTAATTGTGATGGTGTTTTTGCATCTCGGCATACATATACACAATAGATCATAGAACCAATTAATGTTAAAAATCCAAATACCAAAAATATTATTCCAAGAATCCTAAAAAAAAAAATACAAAGCACTTAATGTAGTTAAAAGTACATTTTGTTAATTAAATTAAGAGCTTCGGAATTGCAAATAGTACTGTATTAGAAAAATATTAGTATTATAATATCTGAATTGGCTAGTAATACAGTACTAATATAATTCCGATGGAAGAGTATCAGATGAAATATTTTTAAAAATTTGTAAATTTTTTTTTAATTTGCTTACCAAACAAAAGTCGGTTCAAAAAATTGAATAACTATTACGAAACCAAGTGTAACAAGTATCAAACCTAAATTGAGCAAAAGCATTAAACAACATACACCTCTAATATTTGGACAAAATGGATTTGGTGCAGACATTGCTTCTATTTTTGCTCCTAAAAAATTTGAAAAAAAAAAAATTATTAAATTTTAATTAAAATTCAATTTTTTTTTTTTTTAATAAAATTATCTACCTCTTTTCCTATGTGATCTTCCACTTCTACCAGTTTTGGCTGAGCTAGCAACTGAATAAATACTACGAGCTCCACTTCGTGACTGTGCTCTATGTCCACTGTATCGACTTTAAAATAAAATTAAAATCGTATTTAATATATTTTTATATAATCTTTTAATTAACCATTAAGATACCTTAATTCTGAAGGTTCTTTATAAGCAGCGCTTGTTACATATATATCACTACCATTATCACCACCATGATCATAACTTAAGGCAGAAGGTGCTCTTGATGGAAGTCGTATACCATTTATATGATGATTTGATGAACTCATTGGACCTAAATGTTTTGGTCCACCATTACTATATAGTCCACCATTTACCATACTACCACCACCACCACCACCACCACCGCCACCACCAGTCCTAGATGAGGTATGTTTACGTGATGATGTATGCCTATAATTTCCGGGTGACATTCTTTCATTTGCTACAGTATATTCAGATAATGTTCTTTCAGATGGTGCTCTATGACTTTCTTCACCATCTGTTGAATAACCACGATTTGAATGTACATAAGGAGGATCTGGTGTAAAACGTCCATGTGTTGCCACATAATGACCACCTTTAAGCCTTTATTTTTTGGTTTTGGTGTATAAAAATAAAATCAAAATTATAATTTTTATTAAAATATTTATTATAAACTTTGTTTAAATGACGACTTTATCATTTATGGTTATCATTAATTTTATTCCCACTGCTTAATGTAAAAGTGGTCGTGTAAACAAAGGTATTTGTGGTCATTTGATTTTATAATCTTGTTGAATATTTTATAGAAAATTCAAAATATTTATACTCACTTTTTTACTCTTCTTTCCTGCATTTTTCGAATAAATTGTATATATATATATATATATATATATATATATTGTATGTATGTTTATAAATATTTACCACCTAATTAATTTAGCTATTTAATTCGTGTCCAAAGTTAGAAATCTCAAAGACAAAATCGTTTTTCAGCATGTACATATGTGTGTTTGTGTGTGTGTATATTTAAAAGTATATATAGATTTTTAATTATACAAGCTTTGACAATTTAATTGTTCTTTGGTAATTATTCAAATATATTCGCAAATTATTTTTTATTTTTATAATTTCTATTCATGTACTTTTGAATTCTTTATTTTCTTTATTTCTTTATAAATTCCAAAAGTATGCACTTTTAAAATAAATTAAATTTAATGTAGTAGATTTAATTTTCGGACTTAGTGCTAAATTAAAAATTTCTTTTAGCATTTTTCTGAAAGAAAAAAAGACCAAAAACAACAAAAAAAATAGTTGAAAATTAATAACGCATCAGAAAATGTCAATTAATGCACTTTTGACGGTCAAAAATAATAACATCAAGTTGAAGATCAAATATTGACGTAATTGACATTTTAAAATTTTTTTATTATAATTATTAATTTATTGAAATTAGTATATTAGCATTTTTAGTTTTCGATTATTTTAACTCTTTTTTGAAACACAATATGTTTCTTATGATTTTTAAAAAAAATGTCCAACCAGCAATTCGGACTTCTAATTTTATTTACATAATTCTAAAATATTTTATAAATTGTGCAGAATATTCGTGACAGATTCGAATTTTTTTCACTGATTATTGAAACTAAACAAATTACTAAAACTGAGAGTGGGCCACCTTGTGTTGGAATGCCTTCTTTTACATTTTTTCTTATGTCACTCCAATAAAATTGTATGTAAGGTCTAATTAATAAATTACAATTCGATAGTATATTGGCATGATTTAATAAATAACATGGACTTTTTGGACTGAAAGAACTATCTATTTTTATTGACTATAAAAATTTTGGCTATAAAAAATATATTATTTTAATTGTATTATTTTAATACTTCCGAGTCTTATAGAGGCTTGTTACCTATTTAGTTAGAATTCAATGACAATATCAAAGTTTAGTTGTGCCCCAGACCTATTGTTCCTTCAGGAGTGGAGTAGGAACAAAAAAAAAACGAAAATGCTCGAGAATTTTCATTAATTCATTATTTTTTCGATAATACAACATATTAATGAGAAATAAATGTGTGCAATTGTTTTATTAATATTGTCATGTGTTTTATTAATTGTCAGTCGTTCACACAATTTAAATTTTACAATTAAATTTTAAAAGTTGACAGTGCAAGTTGAAATATTATCTTTTACAAGTACAATAAATTTAATTGTAATTTTTGTTCTAAGAATATTAAAACTTGTTTTTAAATATTCACAAAATAATATTGATCAAATGAAAAAAAAATTGATAGTTAAACTTGAATTTTGACAAATGCGATAAGAAAAATAATTGTGATTAATTTTTGTATTTTTAGGCACTATAAAAATAATTTGATTACACAAATATTTTAATTTTAGAGGCTAAAAATACTCTACCATTAGCTATCAATCAAAATTCAAAATTTTCTTTAATAATTTCGAGACTAAAATCAAAAACTATAAAAACGACACCTATGTATATAATTTTACAGTAATAATAAATTATTTTCAAATTCAAAAATATTTCTCTATACAATATTGAAAATAAAGTTTAAATACACCAAAAAAAAAATTAAAAAATAACACAAAAAACAAAATACTATTTGCGCAGGTCAAGTTAATTTTTATTTTCAAAAAAAAAAAAAAAATTAAATATTAAATTTAAATAAACCTACATATATGCACATTATTATTGTATATGAGTTGAAAATGAACGCAGAGATGATCATCACATTATACAGAATGACGTATAAGCATAAATATTTAATTTCCATATATGTACATATATTTATATATACATGTATGTATGTAAATAAAATTTCAATTCAATGACATTTTTTGTTTTTTTGAGCACATAACTGTTGTTGTATTAAAGCTTTTTCAATTCTGATATTGTTCTATATTGTCAGAAATTGCAATTTGTATAAAAGATGAGTAATTTGTACATATATAAGTAATAATAATGTAGGCATATACTTATATATATGAGAAAAAATATAATATTAAATAATAACCTACAAAATTTATGCATTCTTTTTGTTTCTTAAGAATATTTTTTTGCTTTTGGTATCATAAAATTCTGCGTGAATTTTTTTTTTTTAAAAAAATATTATTCTTTCCAATTTTTTGTTTTTCTTCACTCTTTAAATTCGTGTGGGTGAAATATTAAGGTTTTCATTTTCAAGGTAGCTGCTATTATGTTTATAAGAAGACAATAAGAAAAATGTAAGTATAATCGAACAATATACAAATTTGTATTTTTTTTTTCTTTTTAGTACTCGTAGTAGGTGGCACCACTTTATTAGAAAATTCACTTTTATTATGTAGGTATAAATAAAACAAAAAAATCGAAAATATTTTTAAAAAAATAAAACTATTATGCAAAAAATAAAAAAATATGAATAATTTTTTTTAATTAATTTCTAATTTTTTTATATAATTTTCATATTATAATTATAATTTAATTATATTATTCGTAATGCACTTCAAAAATAATCGAATTTTATTGTTACCAGTTTATTAATATTTTAGCTTAATACTGTAGAAATCCAAAATAGACGAAAAAAATTTTTTTTTTTTGTACAACTCATAAGAAATTTTGAAAATCGAGTTATTCAAGTTTCTTAATCCAAAAAAAAAAATAAATTTTAATTAAAATTTTTTTATCTATTTTTTTTTTTATATTTTATAACATCTATTTAATCAATTTATTGGCTATTTTTTTTTATGATCTTTTGAATTTATTTATTTTTGTTAAATTGCTCTTAAATAAAAATAATTTTTTTTTTTAAGGTAAACTAAGTCACTATTCCATTTTTAGAAGGTCTTCATTATATTTTTATTATTATTTTTTATTATTTTCATTTTTCTCTTTTTAATGTGTTAAATTTGCCAGATATATGTCAAAAAATAAATGTAAAGCATTTTAAATAATTGTTGTGTATTTGGCAAAATTTTCGAATTGAAATTAAAAAAAAATTATGAAATTTATTTTTGATATTTAATTAAAATAATTAAAAAAATTATGCTATTTTTTAATAATATTAATAAAATTAAAAAAAAAAAAAAAATAAATAAAATTTCCAATTTAATTTTTTTATAAAATGACAGGTACAAAAAAAAATGAAAACAAGCAAAATAACATTTCTTTTTTTTCCTGTATTGAAAATTTTTGACACATCTACATTTTATTATAGTATGTTATGCGTATGTATATGGTAATACTAATGCACAATATTATTATATTCGTTCAAAAAAATATTGTATTTAACCTATAAATTAAAACATAAATTTTTTTTTTTTCTTTGAAATATGCATTAGTGTTAGTGCCTAAGTTAGATAATTTTCTTTTATGTTTTTTTGGTTAAAAATTATTTATATGAAGAAAATAATTTTTTTATATGCAAATTATTCCCACTTTTTTCAATAATTAAAATAAAAATTAAAAAAAAAAAAATTAAAATATTTTTTTTTTTTTTTATTATTTTTTAACACCACAAATTTTGGACAAATACGCATACATATTTAACATAAAATATATTAAGCCTTACACTCTGAAATATTTTTTTGTTTTATTTTTTCTTTTCTTTCATATACATATATATATATATATATATATATATATATGTACATATAAAAACTAGTTTGAAAAATAATTTTTAAAAATTTTGATTTTTTTGTTTGTTTGTTTTAACTAGTTGTCTAACTATATATATATATAATAGCGATATGCATACACACATAAATTTGATGGAAAATGAAAAAAAAAAACAAAAATTGCACAACTAAATCTAAACTAAAAATATATATATATATATGTATATATACATATATATATAGAGAAATATATGTATTATTAGATTCGCGCCAAGAAAAGAATTACAATTAATTTTGCGTATAAAATACGATGTCCGCCCTTGTTCATCTCAGGCGGATAAATATTGTACTAAACTTAAACTATATAAGAAAATTTTATTTCTTCTCGTTGGTAAACTCAAATTATTTTTTTTTTATTTTTTTTTTCTTTTCAAATGTTTTCGTTTTTATAGTTTTTAATTTTGAGAGTAAATACATTGCTGGGGAAAAAATTATGTATGTTTATTTATTTTTTAATTTATAATTTCCAAAAAAAATTGTAACCTGTTAATAATAAGAGAACTTGTTTGTTTAAATATATGACAAATGATAATCTTATATTGTCATTTTTTGAAAATTTGTCAACATTACACGCCATTCTCCAGTTGAATATTTACAAACCAGAAGAGAGTTTTGAATGATTGTTGTACATATTTTTGAAGCCATTCAAGAAAAAAACATTTGGAACAGTGAAGAAAAAAAATTATCAATACTTTATTTTTTCCAATAAATTCCAAACCATAAGAGGGAGGAAGGCAATTCATTTATACTAAAACAAAAGCTCGGTTTACAAGGTTGCCAGCTGTTTTGAAATTAGAGAAAGCTGCTATGTTACGTCACCTAAAAAAAAAACAAAGTTCTTTAAAAATGAATAGTTAAAAATTTCAAAAATTTTTAAACTTAAAAGTAATATGATTTCGAAGTTAGAACAGAATATAATTAATATGGATATTCATGAGAAAGCTATTATTTTTCGAAGATTTCTGAATTATATTTAATGATAAGCCTATTTGACGCAAGCACAAAGTTATACTAAAAATTTTGAGATTGATTTTAGGCCTGTGTGCAAATCGGAACCTATTGAACTGTGAACATCGTTTCCGCACAAAAGTTTTGTCTACTAATGATTTTCTATACAATGGTATATTAAGTGTACTTAGATATGACAATCCCCGGAATATATACATACGCATAATAATTTCGAAACAAAAAACTTAAGTGAGAAACTTTTTGAAAAATTATACGTGCCATGTAAGCCATATACATTTCGACTTTTTTTTTTCATTTTGTGCTAATTAAATTAATTTACGATAATAAATTTATAATAATCGATTTTATAAAATAACTTGTCAACACATAAAATTTATGGCTATTACAATCAAATCATACATCTCTTCATCCGTAATTTTAATAATCGGTCGTATTTAAGAATTGATATTATCATAGAAATTTGAGAATTTTCTAATACCGTAAAAATTATAATTAATTATTTTGAACTTACAAATCTTATATATTTCGTTCAAAATACTATTCTGTTTGTGTAAATTTTATAATATAAATATGAGTGTATGGGTTATAATCTATAATAGAGGTTAAGTAAGTTAAATACCGAAAATTAGCATAAAGTTAGGTGACTGACTTTGTTTTCAAAATTTCAATAAATTAGTTTTATATCCAACAACAAATTTATAAGTATACTATGCACATAATCTTCTCATAAATTTTAGTCACTTAATGTAAAAATATTTTTAAGTCTGTTTTTATTTGATAATATGAAATTCCTTTTTTAATCTCACCAATTTAATTAAATCTTTCTAATACTACTATATAATAAAATATTTATTTGTATTACACAATATATCCAATTTTTTTTTTAAAAATACAAACTGCAATATATGAGAAAAAATGAAACTGACATTCATCACATTTAGAGAGCAAAGAGAAATGAGAGTGGAATAAAATTCAAATTTTCTCTTCTGTTTTTATTGGAAATTGTAAGTTTTGACTTTAAATCAAATTAAATTTTTGTTTTGTGTTTGACATTTTTACTTCAGGCAATATTGATTGACTGAATATTTTAATTACGAAAAAAATCACAGTTATGAAGGTAAAATTAAAAAGAGAGCTAAAAATTGGCTGAAAATACTAGAGCATATTAAGTAAATGTCAAGTCCTAGATTTCCGATTATGCCATGATATTGACGAATTTGAAATTTTCGTTTATTTATATTAACATGTTAACATAAAAGTACTTTATTATCACATGTATGCCTAATATGTCGAACTCGAATACATTAAAGTGTTTACACAATACAATTATATAATAAATTATGTAGTGAGAAACAGCATTCCATATACCAAATAAAAAAAAAATATTTTCATACTAAAATAAAAATTATGGTGATACAGTTAAGAAAATACAACTGAGATAAATATATATATATATACAAATATATTATAATTAAATTTTAAATACGAAAATATAAAAAATTTAGGATTCATTTTAAATTATTAAATATATTTTCTAAATGTTATAATTTATTTATTATAAAATTGTTTCAAGTAGAGATGAAAAGAAGAGTTGCAAATTACAAAATTTATTTCAAATTTCCAAAGAAATTAACACATATACAAAAATTATTAGTTTGTATTTGTTATTATTTTTATTAATTATAAAAAAAAAAGAAAAATGTAACATGCAACTTTTTCAAATTGCGATTACATATTTTATAGGAATTTCTCACTTTAATGGTTAATGTACTTATTTGTATATGGTAATTTTTGGTCATCTTTACCATTACGGATATACCAGCTGGTTAACATAATATTTAAAAATTATAATATTAATACAACTAAAATCGTGTATGCGATCGCAAAAATGAGAAAAACTTATACATGTAAAATATAAATTGACAGACACAGAGTTGTTGTTGGGCAAATATCTTACATTTATAAAGTATTTTATTTACTCTTTTAGATTCTATAAAAATTATTGACTGTAATAATAATTCTCTTATATTGCAAGAATAATTCTCTTATATTTACTACCATAATAATAAAATATATTTTTTAATATAAAATATATTTGCAATAAATATAAGAGAATTATTATTATAAACGAGGATAGTTGAATTTATGTATACAATAAAATTTTTGGCATATTTCCGCTAGATGTCGTTTTTTTTTTTTTTCAGTATCTGTTGTATGAATTTGCTAATGTTAAAAATTTATGAACCATAAGTATTTGTTATGTGACCTGAATTTGGTTTGTGTCCTTAATAATATAACAATTCGATAAAAGGTTGTTTCATTTGCATATTACCGAAATGCAAGTGCCCATTTTACAATTAATTTTTCGTTCAAAAGAATTAATTTTTGAAAAAAATTTCAAAAATTAATTCTTTTGACATTATTATTAGAATATGACAATTTTGAAATTGTCAAAAATTTCATATTGATTATAATTATGTTTTTGACTTGCTAATCGTAATAAAATGTTTTATTGGTTATTTTTATTATAATAATTTTTAACCTAATAATACTAATAATAATTTCTATAAGTTTCCTTAAAATGCAATAGATATCGCTTAATATTTAAAAATCCTTTAGAAATTGTCTTAAATTATTCAAAGTTTACCGTTATTTGGAATTTGTTATCCAATTATAAAAAAGCTGTGTTTTTTGTTTTGAACTTGCAAAATGGTTATGATTTTAAAATAAAAATGTATAAGATTGATAAGGCGATAAAGCTAATATATTACATAAAGAATATGTTATACATATATATGCACACATTAAAATTCGTATATGATAAAGCAATGTATACACACGAAAATTGTTTTTAAAATCAATTTTAAGACAAAGTGAGGTATGCAATGTGATATGAAAACTTAATGAAAAGTGAAAGGAAAGATAGTAGAGTGACCGTTATGTTAAATTTATCGTCCAATTGTCACTAAAAAATTTATATATAAAAATTTGGGTTAATGACTTAATTGACAATAAATTTTTGAATTAAATAAAGGGGGGATACAATATGTCAAAATGTCAAAAACCCATATGTTAATAATAATAGAGATAACAATAAAAACTTCAATCTAAAATTAGGATCCATGGCTCTATTTAATGATAATATGATGATCATGTGATTTTTGCAAATGACCATCATCTGCAAAAGTTGACACTGACTGCACATGACTATAATCATTTGACTTTTGAAATTAATCACACTTAAAATTAATCAAAAGTGACTCAAATGTGTACTCGTTGTGCGGTCCAAAAAATATTTCTATAAAAATCATGTAAATTAATATTTTTATATATATATCTAAAGAATCGACACTTACTCAGTTTCATTTCTATTCGATTCGCAATTTTCACTTAAATTTCGATCCTCTTCAACTTCGCTCATTTTTGCAAATGCGTTATTTTTTTTAGAGATGCATAAATGACACCATTATATCTGCAATGTTTTCATATTTGACATTTTTAAAAGGGCTGTCAATATCAATTGTAAAATGAAAAGTATGGCGTTTGTCGAACTTGCATGGTAGAGTTTTTAAAATTATGGCAAATATCATGTGACATTTTTGAAAAGGTCCATTATAACTTCATATTCATTCAAAATACAATCTGAAATATTGTTACGGGTATTAATAAAAAAAAACCCAATAAATTTATGAACTTTCCACAATTAATTTATTTTATTTAACTGCATTTTATTTATTCTTAATTGGACACTTATAAAAAAAAAATTTATTTTCCCTTTTGTTTTTTTTTGATAGCTATGATTACAGTCGCTTGGTATGCAATATTATAAATTTTATATATTTATTATTTTATTACAGCGTTAACACTATAGACATATTTTTGTTTTTTATTTTCCTTTGTTTTATAGAATATTTTATTATTATGGTAGTAAATATTTAATATGTACGTATGCATTTTGTTCAAAATTTTTGATTATTACAAAACAAAGAAAATTATTATGTCAGAAAATTTATTTTTCATTGACAATGACAAATAATTTGATTTTATTTCTCTTTAGTATATACATGAGAATTTTATTTCTCTTAAGTATACATTTTTGTTATAAAAGGAAATAATTAGGGGAAATTAATAAAAGGAATTATAATAGAAAGTGGGGGAGGCGGAAATAAATATTTTTATTGAAGAAATATTTTATATTATTCTTATTTACATTATTATAGCTTGAATTTTTTTCTACAAACATATAATCTATAGGTTTTTCATTTGTATTTTTATGTATATAGCAATGAAAATCTTAAATTA